TTATATTAAGGACATTGTTTTCTGAAGAAATAAAATTTTTCCAATGAATAATGAATTTTTACAAGAATTTTTTCATTTCTTTTAAAATTTTAATTATAATAATTTATAATAGTTTAAAATTGTGTAAAATTCAGTATTGGGCTATTTCCTGGATGTGATATAGTGATTAAGTGGAAACGAAATTTACAAATCCAAAATTGAAAAGATTAATAAACATTATTACACTATTCTATTTTATTTTTTTTACTTAATTTGTTTTCTTTTCATCTATGAAAGGCTAAACATGACATTATTATGAAAAGGTCACATGATCTAAGAGTTTTGTCTTTTTGCAGAGAAATTAATTTAAGAAAATTTTATAGTATTTAAAATTTTTTTTATTTTTGTATAAAGCAACTTTGAAAGGTAAATAAAAGTCAGTAAATTATTAGATAATTACAGAAAATATGTTCATTTGTAAAAATTACTAGGTAGTTAAAAACCAAAACAAAATGTGTTCACTTAGAGTTCGTAAATTTTATGTCAATTCTAGTCAGCCATACTAGCTGTCATTGCTTCGTCATCAATCATCCATCAGTCATTGCCTTAGATAAACAGGACCAATCAATAACAAATGGTTTTATATTACTTTTTTATGATATAAGTAAGTAATATTGCTTTCAGATAAGATTAATTTAACTTTAAATTTTCTAATTTTACTCAAATAATGTGTCAGAAATATATATATTTTTTGGAAGAGTTTTAAAATTTATAAATTTCTTTTGTATACAAATTTCTTAAAATTAAGAAAATGGATGCTTTTAAAAAAATTTTAAGAAATCGAAATTAAATTTGACATTCCAATCTATATAATTTCTGTCTGAAATGCACCAGAATATTTTACTTACAGAAAATAATAAACTTAATCCTTTAGTTTTCAATTAAAGTTAAAATGAAGTCTTTAAGAATGATTTTTCATTTTTAAAAATTCATTCTAAACCTTAGGTATTGAAAATTTATGCCAAAAAAGTGGAGGTACCTAGTTTAGCTTTAGGAAGACATCTTTTGCTCTTCCAATGTTCTTTCAAATTTTGTGTCATATTTTCCATTGGCTGTTAAAATACTTAAAATAGGTTACATTGATGCACAGGTTGAATGAATCCTGTGAGAAAATGCATACCTTTCTTCTGCCTCTTTCTATTTTTTTGTTTTTGCTTAAATCATTTTTTTACCCATATGCAGTCAGAAGTTGTAAGAGTTACTTCTTATCAGATGTCTTTGTACTTGTTCAGTTTTTGCAAAAAATCTTTTGCTGCTCCAATATACCTTCAGATTTTAATGTCAATTATTGTTGCCTATTAAAACACATTCTGATACAATTCCAGACTAATTAAGACAAAACAAAATAAGAAACTAAAACTAAACTAAAGGAAGAATTTACTCTATCACCTGTAATAATTGCTGCAAGGAAAGGAATTCAGAGCAGAGACTTCTTTCTTTTCTTTTTATGTGCCATGTCCTTTCAGGACATAAGCGATCATGGCTCTCCACCTCCCTCTATCCCTTGCAGCTCTTAACAAGTTCTTTCTCTCTGCCATCTTCGCCAGACCATGTTCTGTCATCCACTTGCTCAAGCCTGCTAGGTATGTCATGCATTGCTTTCCCTTGTTCTCTTTCCCTCTATTAGACCTGTGAGTATCAGATTCTGCAGGCCCTCCTTTCTCATTATGTGTCCAAGAAACTTCAGCTGCCTCTTCCAGATGTTAAGCATAAGCCTCCTTCTTGTCTGCATCCTCTCCAAGACCTCATCATTGCTCACACGCTTGGTCCCAGAATCCTCAGTATCCTTCTGTAGAACCACATCTCTGTTGCCTCAAGTCTCTTCTTCATTCTTTAGGAAATCGTCCAGCATTTGCTGCAATAAAGAAGAGCAAATGTCATGTAACAGCTCAGTATCCTTTGCTTTGTTACCAAAGAAATCCTCCTGTCTTGCAATACTCTGCCTAGCTTTTGAAATGCGTCCTACGCCATCCCAGTATGTCTATGGATCTCTGTGTCACACTTACCATCCTCTATCAAAATGTTTCCCAGATGTTTAAACTTCCACGTCTGCTTGATTCTCGTGTTCTCGACCTGCAAATCGCATTTTGGACTCATTCTCTTACTGATGACCTTGCATTCCATCTTCTTGTAGTTTATACTTAGTCCCTTCTTCTCACTCTCCATTGCTATCTTCTGTAGGAGATTTTGTAGTTTCTTTTCCATGTCTGCTATTAGTACAGCGTCATCTGCGTATCTTATGTTGTTGAGATTGTGGCTGTCAACGCTAAATCCCAGTAGGGTTTCCAACTCTCTCAGAATTGCCTTGCTGTATAGGTTGAACAGGTCTGGTGAAAAGATGCATCCTTGCCTTACACCCCTTTCTATTTTTGTATATTCCCTCATTCCCTATGCACATGCATGCTGTTTGCTGCCAGTATAAGTTCTTGATAATTCTGATATCTTTCCCGAATATGTTAAGGCTGCTGAGCAGTTCCAGCAGATCCTTGTGCTGTAATTTGTCAAATGCCTTTGCGTAGTCTATGAAACATAGGTACATGTTTAAATAAAAGATTATATAAGCACAAAAGGTATCTTTTATAAAATAATACACTCAATGAATTAGTTGCTCATTGTAAAGAGTCTGACCATAATTTTTATTTTAACATCCTATTCTAATTAAAAGATAAATGATTTAATAAAATGAAAATATATAGAAAGTACTTTAATTGCTAGATCATCTACAATAATTTAGGTTTAGGTTCTTAGAATATTTCACCTTTCTTGGCTGATCTTTTACTGTCACAATGTGGGATATTTAATCACAATAGTGATTAAAAATATAAAAATGAAAAAAGAAAGTAAATGAAATCAGCTAGATTACATACCTAAAACATATATTTAGAAAAAAACAATAAATTTAAAATTCTCAGCATTGCATCTCTTTTGTGCACATATGTAGTTCCATCAATATAAACATACCTTTAGTCTGATGAAGTCCTAAATGGCAAAACATATCACATAAAAGCTTTTTCCACTTTGTCATAGATTTCCTTAAAATTATTCTTCACATATAAAAATGTATATATCATTTTCTCAGACAGATAGATAAGTATGGATATATCATGAGTTAAATATTATTAGTTTTTCTTAAATATACCTTGCCTAATTATAGGTGTAGATTATATACTTATAAGTATGGCTATTAATAAGGTGGCAATGAATCACTAAGTTAATATAGTCCAACAAATTAAACTATCTTTCAGTTCATTTGTCATTTGAGTAGAGATAATCAAGATGCATACAACATTGAAGACAACATAGTTGCAATGTTTCTAGAACCATTATATTTCTTTCTGGGACTGGAACACTTGTACACTTTTCAATTCTTCCCTTGTACAGGAGAATTGTATTGATAAATGCTTATACGGTGCCATGTACCGTCTTCAGTTCTGCTGCCATCCCCAAATGATCAAATCTGATTTGTTTCGTCTTGTACAAAATTCTTCATAATGACAAACGTCTCTATAGCTCTTGGAGACCATTGCCAAAACTCCGAAATGGCCATAATTCTATCTTTGTCTTTATTCATTCATTTTCTATTTAATTATATATATGTGTGTGTGTGTGTGTGTGTGTGTACCTTTCTAATAATTTACTCTTTATATACATAAATTTCACAAATATATAGCTGTCTATATCTCTCTACCTCTGTGTTTGTTCATGTGTGTATATATAGATATACATGCATATACAAAATAATTTTGTATATAATCTCAGTGTATATATATATATATATATATATATATATATATATATATATATATATATATATATAAGAACACACATATGTAGGTATATCAATAAATCTGTTGCCTCATGATGGAAGAACCATTTCTGTTTAGTAGAAAACCTTCATTTCTCAGTATAATCACTTTCCTTGTCACTGCACTTAATTCAGTGCTGTATATTCAAATAGATGTGTAATGGATATCTGATCAGAATGAGAAATCAGAGAGCTGAGTTCCAGTTGGGTTCATTACATCCTGTCTTTACTCCCAGCAATGGGTTGAATAGTAGGACAGATTGGGTCGTATAGCCTTGGTTGGCAACCAGTTTGTTGAAGAAAGAAACGGCAACCTAATGCATGAAAATATCTGCCAAGTCAGTCATTAATACAAAGAGACATGGTCAACCATGCATATACCATGTATGGGACTTAAGAGATTATTTGAATTATGATCAATTTTATTCAGTGAAAATTTCAGGACTAAATTCATCTAATAACTATGGACATTGATTCAACCTTGTGTATGTGGGTATAATCTCTTTGTGTGAATTTGACTAATTTATATATATATATATATATATATATATATATATATATATATATAAAGTAAACTATCTACTTCTTCTCTCAGTGAATGTATATATGCATATATGTCTGTATTATCTTCTCTGTATGTGCATGTCCATCTATATATCTGTCTTTATCTCTCTCTCTCTTTATATATATATATTTTTTTTTTCTCTGTTTCTCTGGTCATATCTACCTATGTATGTATGTCTGTGTATATATATATATATATATATATATATATTTATATATATATTTCTATCATTATATGCACATGTTCTCTCTCTCTCTCTATATATATATATATATATATATATACATATATATATATATATATAATTATCTTCTTGATGTGGACATATCTATCTCTTTCTCTTTCTATACATTTTTATCTTGTTCATGTGTAATTATATATATATATATATTGTGCAGAAAAGAGAAAGTGTATATTGTCAGTGTGTATTCATTTCTGTTTCTTCTCTCTCTCAAGCATTTATCATCATTATATATATATATATATATATATATATATATGTGTGTGTAGAGAGAGAGAGAGATGATGATGATAAATACTCATCTTTTATTTCCTTCTTTTTGTCTATCATACTGTTTTTATACTTTTCAGCTTGACCAGTACAGGAGCCTTATACGAGACTATGAGCTGAAGGCAATTCATCATCAAGCAGAATTGAACAACAAGGATGCTGAACTGGAGAAAGTACGGTAAGTCTATATTCTTAATTCCCCAGGGGCTAGAAAGCAGAAGAAAATATATACTGACATTTTATCTAGTTGGGTCTCAGCTAGAAAATCTGAGAATACGTCATTCAACCACTTTTTAGGATATTACAAGTTCTTTGGTTTAATTCTACAGACCAACAAATTAATGAAACTTGTGCTCTTAAATTCATTAGAGAAAACCATATAGAGGTTGGTAGGTAAAGTGCTCTTAATTTTGAATATATTTACTTACCATCATTTGAGTAACATATTCTTCTATGTGCCATTTCCCTTCAGGAGGTTGGTGCTCCTGACTCTTCACAATTTCATGTTCTTTATAGCTGTGAATAAATTTTGTCTTTTTTGTTTTTTTTGTTTTTTTTTACATTGTTTAGACTGTTGTCTTCACCTTTATTGCCATATTCATGAAATTTTGACCATTCTGTGCTTCAGCCTTCTTCAGGTGATTGGAATTTCAAACTGAACCCTTTATTTTGTCCACCAGGGTAGACTGTTCTAGTTCCACATGCCATGCCTCTTCCAGATGTCTCAGTTATCTCCCTTTAGTAACTCAACTCTCCAAGTTTTTGTTCACCACTGCAGTAGCCAGGTATTGAACTCACAAGACTTTGTTTCAAGTTATTGTATTTAACCACTGGGCCGTGTGTCCTTCAGTTTCTTTTGCCTTCAATCCTGTGAGTATCAAATTTCCCAATTCCATTTTCCTCATTATGTGCTCTAGGACTTTCAACTATCTCTTCATAATGTTAACTATAAGTTAGCTTTTTCTTTCTATTTTCTCTAAAACTTCCTTATTGCTCACATGTTTGGTCCATGGTATTCTCAGCATCATTCTGTAGAACCACATTCCAGTTACTTCAAGTCTCTTCTTCATCACTGATGAGATTGTCCAGCATTCATTGCCATATAGGAGAACAAATATTGCATAATAATACTCTTGTCTTTGTTTCTAATGAAATTTTTCTTAATACTTTGCTTAGTGTGTTGAAGCATCTTTTTGCTGTACCAATGTGCTTTTGGATTTCACTGTTGCACTTTCTATTCTCTGTTAAAACACTTCCCAGATATTTAAATTATTGATTTTGTAATTTGCATATTGAGATGTTTCTTTTTCTAACAGACATGCATTCTGTCTTCTTGCAATTGATGTTTAGTCCTTTCTTCTTGCTTTCCTTTGATACTTCCTGAAGTAGTTCTTGTAGTTTCCTTTCCATATCTGCTATCAGTACTGTGCCATCTGCATATCTTATGTTATTAAGATTGTGGCTACTAAATAATGACAATTATGTTAAGATACCAATAAAAAAAATTATTTTCCATTCACCTAAGTTATGTAATTTTAATTACTCTATGTTTGGATTGCTTAACAGTACTGAAAGGGGAAATGGCAAGTTCAAATTCCAACCAATCCTGTTTGTTTCACTTTCTCAGAAATATTCTCTGGAAAGGCATGAATCCATCTCTTCTCCCACCAGCTATAGGTTAAATATCAAAGTAGACTGGTCTCTCTAATCTTGATATTGTTTATCTACAGACACAAGTATAAACCTGAATAATATTTACTGACAGACTCAAGCCACCTAGATTGTTCCATTCACTTTACCATTAATGTTCTTGGGAAAGCTATGAATACATTTCTTCTCTCTCCAACTACAGGTTAGATAGCAGAGTAGACTGTGGTCTATAGTTTGGGTGGCAACCAGTATAAGATAAAGATAATTTTGAATTTCAAAATGTGGAGAAGACAAGCAATACACTATCTTCTTTCAAGAGGGCATGGCAATTTACAAATCAAGAAGGAAAAAAAACCTGTACGGAGCCATGATTTGCATACATGGACAATAGTTGCTTTTATGGGCTTTTAGTAACCCTCATTTCAATTTTCAAACATTTTCTTGAATTTCATTGGTTGTTAAATAAAAACAAGCTTTGAGAAATTTCCATAACAAAACAGTCAAAATTTTTGCAAAAATAGGCTCATCTGACATAAAAAAATATTTCTCAAATTCATCCCTAATTGAAATGTTTCAAGAAATCCTATTGGCTAAAAAATAAAACATTTGCCCACACATTTCTCAGAAAAATTTGCAACAACTACCAAGCCTTGTTGGAGCCAATTTTGTTGTTAAAAAAACTATAATTAGAAACAGCAAACGAATTTTCATTGCATTTTGAGACACACACACAGAGATACACACAGGAATTATGTGTCAAAATTGCCGCAAAAGAAGCAAACTTTATAAGAGATTGGAAAATTCATACAACAAACTTTTTCACTTAATATCTTTCATAGAAAAATCTTTTGTCTAAGTTAAATTCAACCTTTCAATCAAAGGCAGATAACTTTTTAGACATTGAACATTTCTGAAACAGCAAAGAACTTTTTCTCTATACCTTTGCACACATCAGTACAAACAAAGAAATTGTAAATTGTGTATATAAAATTTAATCTGTGGTATCAAACATGTATTTTTTTGTCATGATTGAATATCGTTACCATTTGGCCATTTCTTATAATTTATATTTGTGGATATTGCATATTTTATTTGCAGCACAATCTTAAATATTCATGCATCCTTTTTAGATCCACTACAGGCTGAACTAAATCCTATTTTATTTTTTTCCTAAAAACCATGTTGTTCAAAAGAAAGGGAATAAACATGAATTAATTAATGTTTTAAAATGTTTCTCCTATATTGTTTCAGGATTTACAGTGTGAAATTATTTTAATCATTCTCTTGTTAAATTCAATTCATTTATATCCTCAATTGCTTCAAAAGAGTAAATTAGTTTTGTATCTTCAAAGAATATATCTCAGTATAGAGGCTTAACAACTTAGTACCAACTTAATTCAGATGAATATTTTTTTAAAAAAAGGCAGGGTAAAGATAAAAATAACTGTTTTAAAATTGATGATTTCAACATCTATTGAAAAGTTAATGTCAGATTTTAATCAGAGAAAGGAAAATCAGAAAATTAATAAAAGCAAATGTGTCAGATCAATGAATTTCAACTGCATGAATTATTTCAAACTATTGTTCACATCTTGGATATTAATTATTATTATAGGCACACTGTTTTGTCTGACCATCATCAGCTGCCTATTGGATATCTTTTCATTATTGTGTTGTTCCTGTGATGCAAGATGCCCTGAACCCGCTCGGAATGCCCATGTTAAAAAGACCTTGTGCCACATGACACCCTCGTGGGAGTGGGGGGGGTGACTCAATATCGTGATGCAAGTTATTGTTCATTGTTTCTGATCCAGTATTTTGCTACCCGATCCAGGGATTGAACTCACAACCACTAGAGAACAATATTTAAAAAAAGCATAGTAATAATTACTCATCTTAAAAATGAAATAAAACATATTCAGTTTTAATTTCTGGGATGAAGAGTTATCATTATTTTGATTATTTAAATTGAGACTAATGTCCTCATCTTCATTGGTATTATCACCATTTGCCTTCTTCAGCTGTCTACTGTTGTTGGGAATCCTTTATTCAATAGATAGGAATAGATTGTTTTCATACTGCTGACTATGCTAGAGGATATCTTATTTCAGTTAATTCTGTCAAGTTAGTTTGTCCTCTTGTAATAGCACTAACCTCTTTAAATGAGCTTGAGTGTTTGACTTTTTTGCATTACTCGACCAGTATTGTAGCAATTATTCTTTTTTTTTTGCATTTCAGGTGTGATTTGGCAACACTCTGGGATAATAACCAGGAACTTGAGATACATTCAAATGAACAGGCCAAATTAATTTGTGAATTGCAAGATTTACAGAAAGGAACACAAGAAGGTAAGTAGCATTGATTCTTTTTTACTTCTTCATCTCTGTGCAATGTCCCTTCAGAACGTTGATGATCATGGCTGTCCACAATTTCCTGTCCTTTGTATATATGAATAAATTTTGTTTTTTTTTCTTATCTCTCATAAACCCTGTTTTACCATCCATTTACTCAAGCTCGCTAGTTAGGTTACACACTGTTTTCCTCTTGCCTTCAATATGTCCTGTGAGCATCAAATTTTCCAAGCCCTTTTTGCTTAATATGTGGACTAGAAATTTCAACTATCTCACTCTGAATTTAATTATACGTGTCCTTTTTGATTGCATTTTCTCTAAAACTTTGTTCAGTTTATATTACTCCAATAAAAATTGTAAGACAAATGAAGTGTTTTCGATCAAGTAATTTTTTTTTCTTGTTAACAGCAATTTTTATATTAACTTATTCTTTTTTTTTTCCATTTCAACCCATGGAAGACAGTAAAGCCATTAAGACATAAGGGATTACTGAGTGTGAAAGAATAAGAAAAAAAGAGAAATATTAATAAGGAGGGAGAACAACAGAAGAGCAATCAAGAAGACAGTAGATAACGATTGACATTTAAATTTTTGAAGATCAAAGTTGGCTGGAAAGAAAGCATGCAGCTGGAAGAGAATTCTACAATCGAGAAGTTTGAGAAAAGAAAGTGTTAGCATAGAACTTACAATTACATGTAGCCACTTCAACTGTAAATTGGCAAGAGCTTGTTGCCAATCTAGTAAGATTAAATTCATAAAGTCTTGTGGAGAGTTCATCTGAACAATTCTCATGAAAGTATTTATAGAAAAGGCACAGGGAAGCTGCATTATGGCAGGGGGAAAATGACTGAAGCCTAGATGCCAGGCTGGAACAAAACAAGACAAGAAAAAGAAATTATATCATTACTGGCTCCCTGTCAATGGTGACAATGGAAGTAAGAGCTTACTTGCTGCTATTAGTTAGCAGGTGAAGTAATTAAAGGAGAGTGATTTTTTTTTCCAATTTCTCACTCATTCTCTTATCATTTTGTTGTGACATTTCAGTGTTGAAATATTTTGTCAAGATATATGACAGTAGAACAGAACCTAAGCAAAAGTGGTTTCATGCCTTTCCCAGCAATATTAATGTGAAGTAAATATAAGCAATCTCTAACAGAATTTGAACTCTATTTGCAAACTTTGCTTCCTCTGCTGATAATCCTTATGTCACCTTACACCTTCATACAATTATATTAGGTAAATATATAAACTAGCTTTTTTACCAGCTAGGGAATAAGAAAGATGGCTTGGAGAATTTGACACTCAAAGGATTTATTGAAGGCAAGAAGAACTGGAGGAAACAGCAAATAATCTATTTAACAGAAACAAGGTGAAGAGCAGAAGTAACAAAATACAGGAAGTTGTGGAGATCTATGATCGCCCTTGTCCAGAACAGACACAGCACATTATCTGCTGATCTGGTTTTCAAAAAGAATTACTCCATTATTTTTTTAAATTCTTACTACTGTGTTATGGTTTTCAAATAACAGTGTTGATAGTTGTGTTTATTGTCTATACTATGGTGTTACCTATATGACTGTGTTTTAATGTTGGAAATATACTTTTATCATTGTGGGTAATGAAAGGTTTTATCTGTTTTGGTCATTCATGCTTGAGATATCCCATGATGCTCTCTTGAATTTAAGTTCACTTTCATTACATATGAGTAAGGAAATCTGACTCACTGCCCACTTGAATTTTAAACAGAGTTGACAGGTAACAGACATCCAATGTAAACAAATTTATTTTCACTTTATTTAAAGTAAAATGTAAGTAATTTTTTTTTTCAAAATCCACTTAAGCAATCAGTAAATTAATTAATTTTTGTTGAATCCTGTAATGGCTGCCATATTTTTGGAAGATTTTTTAATTACAGAGTTGAAATTCTTCTGTCAGCAGACATCACTCATGGCATAATTGAAGATAATTTTGAGGGACTAAAACTGACATTAAAACCTGCTTTAAATACCCAAAAGTAATTTTTTTTTATTTTTTACTACTAACTCTGTTATTTCTCTGTAATTGAACATTAAAGATTTTTCAAATAAGTTATTTAAATTATTGGAATACATTTTAAAATTTTTATAAAAATGTTTGTAAATGTAATGAAGTGGGAGCATCAATTAAATAACACAAAACTTTAATCTTAATTACTTCACATTTTATTCACTCTGATATTTTGTCAGTTACTCTCAGCCAATCTGTGGGTGTGAAGCAGCTCCTCCTACAGATATCTAGTCTTATATATGAATCTTACATACAGTTTTTAATGTGTATGAGACCGTCCCTAACATATCTGAGGTTGTTGTTTATCTGTCCATTTGTTGAAAATTGTCATTCTCATCTTTGCAATGCCAAGTGCAGATGTGAGGTCAGCCGTGCTCCAGGCTTTCTCTGACAACTTTGTGTGAAATTTGAGTGTAATATCTATTCCAGCATAATGCCCTATGATCATTCCTACAATTTCAAATAATTGTGGTATATATATATATTTATATATATACATATATACACACATATATATATATATATATATATATATATATATATATAGATATATATAAAATATATATATATATATATATATATACATACATATATATTTAATATTATATATATATATATATATATATATATATATATTAAAATTAAAAAAACACACAATATTAAGGGTCCATTGATTATATTTTATTTCCCCAGGAAGGTGGTTTTTTCCTGATTCCTCAGGCCACATTTCCAAGCATAAAAAAAGGTTTTAAATTTATGTATTATTTTTATACCCTTTTGAGTGGTAGTTTTAAGTTGATGTAAGGTGATAGGGAGAGGAGATGGAGGACAACAGATATGGTTGAAATTAAAGCAGGGAGGGAGAGATAGGAATAATTTTAAATTTATTTTTATTGAAATACTTAAGAGTAAGGAAATGGGGTAAGGGCCAGACATGGACCTGTTTAATAAGTCATCTGACAGGAAAAGAGACAAAGAGAAAAAATAAAAAATATATATATATATATATATATATATACACATAAAATATCAGCATAAAAGCATATTCAAATTTCCATAATATAGCTTTTACCTAATTAGCTAACTAATTCAAATGTCAAATGGATAATTAATTCTAATTTTTATATTCCATCTTAGATTCATTATATTAATTTTATTTTATAAATTTTCCCGTTCTAAGAACTTTTTTTCCTTTTATCACTTATATCGTTTTATCTATGTATTTTAAGGTTGTTTTTGAATATAACTTTGTATTTTTAAGTATAACTTGTTTTTAGATATATCTTATTTTCACATATAAATTTTTTTAATATTTTTTCTTTAGATTTTTATTTTTAAAATATATTTTTTTTATCTTATTATATTTTGATTTTTTTAACATATATTTATTTTTAAATATATTCTCTTTTTATTTATATTTATTTTCATTAAATATAAATAATATATTTATAAATATATCAATAAATAAATTTATTTATATTTATTTTTATTATATATATATATATATATATATATATATATATATATTTTTTTTTAAGTATAATTTTACTTATTTTTGAAGTTAAATAATTTAAATATGACTTATTTTTAAATATAACTTATTTAGTTATATCTTATTTTTAAATATAACTTTTTTTGGAATATGATCTTTTACTTCTATGTGTGATTTTGTATTTTTAAATGTAACTTTATATATTTTAAAGGTTTTTTTAAACCCATTTTTATTTCTCTTTTAGTTTTAAATTAATATTTCATTCTTCATATAAGCCCTAACCACTGCCTCATGCCTTTCATTGAAATAAATATATTCTATATTTTTTTTTTTTAGCTTTCATAGTTAAATTTCTATTTCCAACATGAACTCAGTCTATACCAGGCTTGAATAAGACTGACAAATATTTTTGTTGGTCAAAATAAGCTTATTCCCCAGATGAGGTGATTTTGGATTTTATTGTGTATTAATTATTTGCTCTGTAATATTAAATACATTGAGCTCTTTATGTGGATCAGTTTTAATATTTTATATTACTAATTTCCATTTGGATTATATACCACAAATTTATCACTTTTACTATATATATATATATATATATATATATATATATATACTTGCTTAAAAGCTGCCCTATCAGGCAGCATTTAAGCTAGCACTTGTGGAGGGCTGTTGATTAGGCTTTCCTCACAATTCGTAGGTAGGAGTATATAACATAGACAACAAGAAACTACAAAAGAACTCAAAATTGATCACTGCATTTAAGTATTGCATTAATATCTAAGCTTGCCTTTTAAAAGTTCAATGATAATTCTTTTGCTGTGAATTAATTTAAAGACAATTTGATATATGTAGATCCTTAATTTCCGTACAAACAATTATTTTTATTTCATGGGTGACTGGATTTCGCAGTTAATTTTGATTATTCCAAAATTTATTTCCAAGTTACAAAAATTCTTATTGTACAAAAAAATTTGTTGCAAAAAAATCACGTAAAAAATTACAAAAATCCCAAATTTCATGATTGCAGGTCTGAATCTGGCCTGGAATGGTTTTAATTTGCTCACAGAGTTGGCTTGATTCAAAAAAGTCATATGTTATATTGGGCTCCAACCTCGAGGAGTAAAGTTGAAAAAGTGTGACACACTGACAATTGCATTTAGTATATAGATATAGGAAAAATAATGACACATTGGGAAAAAAAATGTGCCATTTTCCATCGATGCAACTACATATGTTCATGAAGGGGAAGACGATGCAGAAGTTTAAAATTTTCAAATTAAAATTTTTAATTTTCCTAACATTTTCTTCCCATATATATATATATGTATGTATGTATGTATGTATGTATAGATATATATATATGTATGTATGTATGTATAGATATATATATATATATATATATATATATGTATGTATGTATGTAGGTATATATATATATATATATATATATATATAT